CGTCTTGCAGCACCTGGCGTATTCACCAGACATTGCTCCATCCGATTATCACTTGTTCCGGTCGATGTAACACGCCTTGTCCGATATGCACTTCCAATCAGTGGATGAGATCCGAAAATGACTTGACGACTTTATCGTGTCCAAAGACGTAACATTTTTCCGAGATGGAATTCATCAGCTGCCTGAAAAATGGCTTAAAGTTATAGAAAGCAACGGCAAATACTTTGATTGAACAATTTAATTTACTTTCTTTTAAAATAAACCTTGAATGTAGCTGAAAAAATTGGATTATTAATTTGTACACCTAATATAATTGATTAAAATTTATCTTGTATATCAAGATATTGTATTTTATTCTACTCTAAAAAACCGAACGAACTTATTTGCCAATCCAATAAATTAAAAATTTTAAATCAAATCGACTACCAGATTCGTTATCGGGAAATTCATTCTGATACTCATCTGCAATTTCTTCATAATATTGAATATTTTGAGTTTTGATCATGTATAATATTATTGCTGAGCATTAAAACATGTAAACGCGCATTATCCGTGCAAAAGTTTTCGAAAAGGGAATTGTTAAAATATATACGCAAATCTAGTTAAAACTGTCAAGAGTCGTGATTGTGCTTAGAGCGCCAATGCATCACAAAATATCCTTAATTCGCAGGTTTGTTTTTAAAACATTTTCAATAATAAATTATTTTGATTAAATGAACAATGTCGATTCTAATAAGACATTTTGTCTTATTAACATACTCGTACGATCGTTATCTTCTAGTATCATGCAGTTCTCAACATATGTGCTGAAATTGCAATCGTTGAATTCAAAAGGTGCCTCATTTAAAAGTGCAAAAGAATAGTCGATTGCAATCTCTTTTAGACAAGGCGCTCCAGATTTCAGCCATTCTCACAACTAATAAGTTAAAATATTCATATTGTATTTCTCAGAATATTTGCAACACAGGTGAAAGGAGGAGTGTCAATAAGGCCGTTTTTTAGCTCACGTCAGAATCGCTTCAAATTGTGATATTTTCTTCCTACCGATGTAGCTCATAATCTCCTAGAACCGTTTGCTATCCGAATAATTAGAGGCTGAGAACGGGCAACATGAAAACTCAAAAATCAATCAGGTTTTTCACATGGTGATAGTGCCAATCACATGTCAGCATATCATTGTTGAGCTTTCATCACCATATTTTCTCAAAAATTACTAGAGTATATACTGCTTTGAATACGAAAAGGAACTCATCTGACTTTCATGCATTCAAGATAGAATCAAGCTTGGTATTTTGAACATATTGCCACATTACTGAACTATCATGCAATAGCATCTCTTGCGATAAATCGGACGATATTACTATAAGCCCAAATTTGATTTTGAGAGATAAGATCATTTTATCAGTGCAATATACACTTAAGAAATCTGCTATTTACTGCTCAGTGGGCACAAACCCTGTTTTGTCTTTTGGACATTCTCAAGATGTCTGATATGTGTCTCGAAGATGTTTCAAGGATGTTGTATGTTGCAGACCTTTTTATGACGTTTTTTTGGTATAACAGACGTCTGTAAGTCATCTCGAAGATGAAAATAAGATATCTTGGGAACATTTCTAGGATTTCTCGTAGATGAATCTATCTCAATATCCATGAAATATCTTGGGAACGTCTACAAGATGTTTATATGCTTTTCTACCCGTCAGGTAATATAGCATGGACTGTAACGCATATAGCGATGGACTGTAACTCCATTATCATGAACATAGATATTCTCGCATTTCAATTGCAATATTGGAAATAGAATTCAGATTACAACATCCAGGAAGTGACGGAAAAGTCGACTCAGTGTGTGACAAATTTGCTAAGACCGATGTCGAATATCAGGAGTCAGAAAAGAGATTGTGGCTGAGCATTTTTGCATTTTTTTTTAGTTAACTTCTATGTCATAAAGAAGTTTTTGCAATATAGAATGTCCTTGAAACGTCTTTGAGACACATATCAAACATCTTGAGAATGTCCAAAAGACAAAACAGGGTTTGTGCCCACTGAGCAGTAAATAATAAGCAGTAAATAGCAGATTTTTTCAGTGTATATTGCACTGGTAAAATGATCTCATCCTTCAAAATTAAGTTCAGGCTTATAGTAGTATCGTCCGATTCATCGCAAAGAATGCTATTGCATGATAGTTCAGTAATATGGTAATCCGTTCAAAATACCAAGCTTGATTCTAAAATGCATGAAGATGAAGGTCAGATAAGCTCCTTTTCGTATTTAACCCTTTGAGGCATAGTAGCAAGTATACTTACCACCTATTTATTCTCACATTTTCATGAAATATTTCATATTTGAGGGATTCTTGTCGGGTTTATGCGTTATTTAGCTTATATGATATGGGAACATACATGTTGGAACATACATGAAAGGTTGAAAAGTATTTTGCATAAGTTGTCTATTTATTATAAATAAAAAAAAGTGTAGTAAATACACATTTTTACAGAAAAAAATCATTTTCCACGAACTATGAGTGAATCTTTTGCTCAAAATCAAGATTTGGGAGTTTTTTGGGTCGCTGATTACGAATCTGATGTCCAAATTCCAAAATTAATTTTCCAAAATGGCGGATTCAAGATGGCGGATCGTAGAATTTTTAGTAAATTAGCTAAAATTATACTCTAGTTAGTTTTTGAGACCGCTGATTACGAATCTGAAGTCCACATTTTAAAATTTATTTTCCAAGATGGCGGATCCCAGATGGCGGATCATAGAATATATTAGGTTGTTGCAGATGAAATGGCCGTTTTTAAAATTCAAATTTCCTAGCCGAGTAGTTCAGCTCTTTTCATGCAGCTGTCGTTGCATGCGTGATATTTGAAAAGTATATGCCCCACACGTAAATTCGCACGCATAACCTTATTTTTATCACATTGTTTATATCATTGAAAATCGCTGTCTCTTCGACATGGAAAGTAAGGAAATGCGGATAATATTCTTGTACGAATACAAACTTGGTCATAGTGCGGCCGAGGCAACGCGAAACACTGCTTTTGGGGAAGGTTCTGTAAGTGATCGAACCATTAGACGTTGGTTTGAAAAGTTTCGGTCTGGTGATACAAATCTCGCGGCCATGCACCATCAGTGATTGATGACAATGTTTTGAAAGGCATGGTTGAAGCAGACTTGCGTTTATCAGTTCGAGATATTGCACACAGCATCAACGTTTCAACAGCATCACTATTCCACTGTTTCCCGACACCTAAAGGCCATAGGGAAAGTGAAAAAGCTTGACAAATGGGTACCACATGAACTGACTGAGAGAGACAAGCTTCGCCGTATGGACATCAGCTCATCTTTGCTTTCCCGACACAATAATAAAGGAATATTGAATCGAATAGTAACGTGTGATGAAAAGTAGGTTCTTTATGACAATCGTCGACTAGTAGTTAGATGCTGATCAAGCTCCGAAACACATGCTGAAACCGAGCCTTCATCCACATAAAGTTATCATATCTGTATCTATATGGTCTGCCAAGGGTATTGTGCATTTTTCGTTTTTGAAAAAGGGTGAAACTATAAATGCTGACAAATATTGCCAAGAAATTGACATTGTGATGGAAAAACTGCGTATTGAACAGCCGGCGTTATTAAATAGACGCGGTATGTTATTGTTCCATGATAATGCTAGACCGCATATTGCAAAAAAAACTGTAAAAACATTAACAGAATACAAATGCGAAGTTCTCCCTTACCCTCCTTATTCTCCTGACTTTTCTCTAACTGATTACCATTTGTTTAAGCATCTGGATAACTTTTTAAGTGAAAAGGTACTCCAACCAGAAAGCGACGTGAAAAATATGTTCAACGAATTTCTTGCATCTCGCTCTTCTAATTTCCACGTGAAAGGTATTGGTGCGCTTGTATCACGTTGAGGGAAGTGTATTGAGGTGGAGGGAGACTATTTCGATTGACGAGATGTATATAAAGTGTGTCGAATAAAAATTTAAATTAAAAATTAAAAAAATGGCCATTTCATCTGCAACAACCTAATACATAAAATTAGCTAAAATTGTACTCTGGTTAGTTTTTGAGCTCGCTGATTACAAATCTGAGGTCCAAAACTCATTGTCACCGAAATTATTGCTCTTTTTCATATTTGTGGCCGCCATCTTGAATTTTGAAAATCTTATAACGGATTCGTAATTAGTGACTCCAAAAACCTCACAAAACCCATTATCACCGAAATTATCGCGATTTGTCATTTTTGCGTCCGCTATCTTGAATTTCGAAAATCTGATAACAGATTTGTCATCAGCAATCCCAGAAACCTCTGTATATAAATTTTCATGTGATTCAGATTTTCTGAAAAATACGTGCCTCAAATGGTTAAAGTAGCATATACTCTAGTACTTTTTGAGAAAATATGGTGAAAGAAACCCAACAATGACATGCTGAAATAAGACTGGTACTATCGCCATGTGAAAAATTTCATTGATTTTTGAATTTTCATGTTGCCCGTTGTCAGCCTCTAATTACTCGGATAGCAAACGGTTCTAGAAGATTATAAGCTACATCGGTAGGAAGAAAATACCACAATTTGAAGTGATTCTGACGTGAGCCAAAAATGACCTTATTGATACCCCTCCTTTTCGTTTTAACTGAAATGACTGCTTGATATAAAAATAAATAATGTGCAAATTTATCAAGTTTTTAATATTTTTTTTATCAGAGATCCTGTTGCATCTATGCTCAACATACCCGTTATTTCTGTTTCTTTATTATACATATACTTTCTATATTTATTAGGTGTACAATTTAATTCTCGGCCTTTTTTGCTCAACTTCAATGCGCAGTTTTAAAAACAAGAATATTTACTTAATTCCGAAAGTAATCTCCCTCATTTTCTACACATTTCTGCTATCTTTCAGGCAATTTTCGAATTCCGCTTCAAAAAAACGATGGTGGTTTGGACTCAATGAAGTCATCGATGCTTTTTCTGATTTCAGAAGTTCGGAAGTGCGAATCAGCTAGGTGATGCTGTAGCGATCGGAATAGGTGATAATTTGATAGGGCGAGGTCTGGAGAATACGCCGCGTGAGGAAAGATTTCCCAGCCTAAGTTGGAGATGATTTTCAGGGTCGCTTTTGCCGTGTGTGACCGTGCGTTATCATGCAGCAGTAGTACCTGCCTCGTTCTACTACCAGTAAATGGTATTTTTTACTCGAATGCGTCATTCACTTTGATCAGTTGTTGCTTGTAGCGTTCAGCATTGACCGTTTGACCGAGTTCAAGCAATTCGTAGTACACAACAACCTTTCTTGGCTGACCCGGTCGTTGTTCGTCTTCAAGATCGAAATTTCCTTTCCGAAACCTCTGAAACCACTTCTCGCAAGTGCTGTAGGAAACAGCATTTTCGCCCAAAGCCGAACAAACCATTTCCTGCGCTTCAGCTGCATTTTTTTTTAAGTTGGAAAGCGAAAAGGAGGTAGTGCCTCAAATGCTGCTTTTCGAACGACATTGCATTCACTACTGTTTTTTTGAGATTATATCAGCAGGGCTGCCATCTGTTATACTGCATTCTAAAGCTGAGACTTAGTACTTTCAGATCACCATAGGACGGAAATAAATTTCAATTTGAATAGAAGCTGTCATTTATTGAATTTTGGGGCCGAAAATTAAGTTGTATACCTAATATATATAGGGTATCCAAAAGATCTTAGACCAATAAAACATCTCGAAAACAAGATATTTCAGAAAAAAATATTTCATAATATTTCATAATATTTCAAATATTTCATACAAGAGTTGTATGTTTTTAAAGGGAATGTAAAACAACTATATCAGTTTGTTTACAGATGGCGACGCTTTCGAGATATTCACTGATCATTACTTTTCTTAAATAGAAATCCTAATTTTTTATATCATTTTCTACAAATTAATTTGAATAACTTTTGCCTCAAATATGTTTTATCTCCCTAATATTTTGTGAGATTTTGAGAAAAACTTGGTAATATTTTCAACATTTACATTTAACTTACAATATCTTTCTATTTGTCGGAAGAAAAAGGTATTAAACTTTTTTACTCTATTTAGTCTGAAGAATATATTGTTACAATAGCACCCTGACTTTTGTTAACTTATCGATTTTTAGAAATTTCCAAGTCATTAGATTAACTAAAGTCAGGGCATTATTGTAGCAATTTATTTTTGAGTTTGAATAGAGTAAAAAGTCTAGTACCACTTTTTCTTTCGACAAGTAGTTCGTGAGATATCGTAAGTTAAATATTGAAAAAGTTATCAAATTTTCTTTAAATGTCTTAAAAAATATTAGGCAAATAAAAAAAAATGTTTCAGACGAAAGTTGTTCAAATTAGTCAGTAGAAAAAAATGATATAATAAAAAATTGGGGTTTCCATTAAAAAAAATAATGATCAGAGAGCGAGCGTGGCATAGTGGACAGCGCACTAATCTACAAAGTCGATGATAACGGGTTCAATTCCCGGCAGAACTGAAAAATTGTATACGATCACTTTCCTCTCGGAAGGCAATGGCAAACCACCGAGAATATTCTGTCTAGTAAAATCTTTCTAATACTGTCGTTCGGAATCGGCGTTAGACTGTAGGTTCTGTATACATATGGATAATTTAGGTGCGCAACGCATGTGTATGAAAGGGAGATCGCCAGTGTTCGAGGTCGAATATGGCGCATCAAGAAGAGAGTGATCAGTGAGTATCTCGAAAGTGTTGCCATCTGTAAATAAAACGATGTAATTGTGTAATGTCCTCTTTGAAACCATACAACTTTTGTCCGAAACATTTTTTCCTAAAATGCTTGGTTTTCGATATATTTTGCCAGTCCGAGACTTTTTGGATACCCTGTATACTTTTAGTATAAACATAACTGTTCGGAACTGAAGTAAATAATAAAAAATTGATTTATATAATAAAAATATAATTCCAAAAAACTCTGGTTTATATTTTAATTGTAAAACTGATGTAATTAGATTGGATATACATCTTCTATCCCAAAAGTAACCGGAATGGCTCTATTTTAACGAAATTAGTGGCACCTTCTGTTAGTGGGAGATTGAGTTAGGAAATATCAACCTTCCTTAATAATCTGTAAAAATTTTATGACATTTCGTTCACTAGAAGCTAAGGTACGACACATTTAAGTGACAGTAGTTTGATATCTTGGTCGAAAAATGAATAAAGAACAAAGAATCAACACTAAGTTCTGTGTTAAAAAGTGCTACGGTAAAAGTGTTACGGAAACATTCCAAATGTTTAAAATCACTTATGGAGATAATTGTTTATCACAAACACAAGTTTTTAAATAGCATCGACGATTCAGAGAAGGCAGAGAGGATATAGATGATGATAAACGTTCAGGCCGATCAATTGAAGAATGATGACCGAAGAAAATTTTGAAAAAGTGCATGATTTCGTATATTGAAGCGTTTGATAGGCTGTATTTGTCATGTTCGCCCTATAATATCGGTCTATTACCAAGAACTAACTTTTTATCAGTCTAATATTTTCTAATTGTTTCGCTTCGCGCAACATAGATTCACTACGGCTGCGTTCCGTTTCACGCATCGAGCGGATCGATCGCAACCAATGCGTTGCGCGCATTGATATCGTTCCGTTTTCGTTAATGCGTCTATGCGCTTTTGGAAACGGAACGACTTTTGATGCGTTTGATGTGAAAGGAAAAATGGATGCTACTATGGTTACAATGGACATCGAAACATTTACAATAGCCTTATTTTCATTAGTGAATGATGACAGAATTAGCAGCAGTAGTAGCAGTAGTAGTAGTGAGTCTATATTTTATCAAGAAATCTTGATCTGTAGAAAAATATTCACATACATGCATTAATTTAAAAATACAATTGAATTGCTTTTAAAACTTTAAAATTTCAATTCTACCTTTCGATGCTCTTAACGCGATCTCTTTTTCGAGAAACATAATGATCATTTCGTTATCCACTAAGGCCCAGTTCCACAACTTGCTTTAAACGGAGTTTAAAGCAAATTGTGGAGCTTGCTTTAAACGGAATTTAAAGCAAATTGTGGAACTGGACCTAATACAGGGAATTCAACTTTGTCCATTGTACGTATCTGTGATTATCTGTATGTTTAAAATCAAAAAATATCGGTACGTTAAATATATCAGTCATCACGTCACGTTGTCAGTATTTAAATAGAGTTATATAAAAGATTATAAATACTAATCTGCGCATGCCCGCATCAACTGCTTCTAGTCCGAGCTGTAGTAGCTGATGCGCGCTTAATGCGATAGAGGTGGGGGGATTCTAGGGAATTCTATACGCCACCAATGCACGCATTAGCTGAAACGGAACGGTTCTGGATGCAGTTAATGCGCTCGATGCGTGAAACGGAATGGACCCTACAAGTGCGTTGGCTGTACATCACTAAACGTCATTATTTTGTTGGCCCTCTCTCTCTCCTCCAGCCATATGCTGACAACGTATGTAAATCTTTTACTACACGATTTTTTTCAACATCACGTAATTGTTGCTTTTTATGATGAGCAATTTTTGCATCATATATAGAGATATGAATCTACGTATGTATATTTATCTTCTGTACCATGCATAATATATGTATTAAAATGTGCCGCACATTTTGCTCCTAGGAGGTTGCATTGAAAGTCGCATGTAGATGACTCTAGCTGCATATGCTATGGGCAGTGATAAATGTCTCTTATGTCATTTTGAAGTGCGAACATTTCCCACTACAATTTAGTCATCAGACGCAATCCTTTGCTTACATAAATGCTTTTCTATGATTGAATTAAAATGGAACGCGATAAATTGTTTTTCTGATGTGTACATCTACTACTACTATTTTGATTTGAAAAAAAGTGCAGCTGAAGTTCATCGATTGCTTGCGAAAACTTATGGTGAATCTGCTCCATCGGAAACAATATGTAGAGATTGGTTTCGACTATTCAAAAGTGATGATTGTGACGTTTACGACAAATAACGGCCAAGTCAATCGAAAAAGTTCGAAGATGAACAATTGCAAGCTTTGAATTCGAAGAAAATCCTACTCAAACACTCAAAGAATTGGCTCAAAGTTGATAAATCAACCATTTCACGACGTTTACAAACTATGGGAAAGATCCAAAAAGAAGGGAGATGGCTGCTACATGAATTGACCGAAAATGCCATTGCTAGTCGTTTAAGCATCATGATTTCTTTGCTTGCAAGGCATAAAAAGAAGAATCTTGTGGCATATCATGACCGGCGATGAAAAATGGATCTATTTCGATAACCCGAAACGCAAGAAATCATGGGTTGATCTCGGTCAACCATCAACATCGACATCAAAGCGAAACATCTACGATCACCACAAATCAATGCTCTCTATTTGGTGGTATATGAAAGGCGTCGTGTATTATGAGCTGTTGAAACCGAACAAAATAGTCATCACCGTATGTTATCGACAATTGGAACGTTTGAATGATAATTTGATGCAAAAGCGACCACCAAATGCATCAAATCGCCGAAAAGTGATTTTTCTCCATGTTAACGCTTGGCCCATGTTGCTGTAACCATGAAACAAACACTGATGGAGTTCGAATAGGAGATAATCCCGCATTCAGTGTATTCTTCGAACCTGGTCCCAAGCAATTACCATTTGTTCCATTCGATGCAACACGTTTTGGAAGGTACACATTTCCATAATTACGGAAAAGTCGAAAATTGGGTTGCTGAATTGATTGGCTCAAAAGATACTGTTTCTTCGTTGCAGAATTCAACTTCTTCCAGAAAAGTAGAAAAAACTCATAGCTTCCGAGAACAAATACTTTGATTGATGTATTTATATACTTTGTTATTGAAATAAATGCTCAAAAAACATAAAAAAACAGCGGCTTTTAATGCAACCTCTTAATACATGTATACATATAATTATACAACATTTTTAAGAAAAATTTCTTTATGCATTTATTTCCTATATTTATTTTTATTTACTATTATTCGTTATATACAGGGTGAGGAAAAGAGATGGAAACTCTTAAAAATCTCTAACGATATAATATCAGGTGTAGTAAAAAGAAATCCATTATTTTTGCATGAAATTGAAGGCTTTAATTACCATAGTTAGAATGATCCGATTTAGGTCAAATATGCGCCGTTTTGTTCGATAACTTGTTGCCATTTTGAAGGTAATTTCATTA